TTTCTGTGTGTGTGTGTTTGTGTTCGTGTGTGTGTGTGTGTGAATTTGTTCATAGCAAGATTTAAAACTATTGATTCTGATCATAGTGCAGATTTTATTTTGAATAGATTTATTCTTACTGCAAATAATGAAGTAATGGTGAAATGATCTGAAATAACTTTGCAGTTTTCACAGGGTGAAGAGTCCAGATTGCATACATGGATACATATTTCTCATTTTGTTCCATTCTAATTGCATTGATGCTAATCTCTTCCTAATTCCTAATTGTGCTCCTTGCCTTTGCTATCTATAAATGCTTAATTTTCTTTCTAATATGTGTCAATTTCACTGCGTTATTATAGTGAATGGAAAACTGTCAGCGAGCAAACTTAAAAATCATGCGGTTAAAGCATGTCAAGAATTCGAAAAGTCGAAGATGGAGAAACTTTTGCAACAGTACCTTTTGTTCCTATCCCAGATAGGGGTAAGTATTTTCTTTATTTATCCTCTTGCATTCCATATTAACGTTAAATCAACACTGCTTGTAGATAGAAATAATTACGTATGAATGACGCATTTCGACTTGTGCTTTTTTCTCATGCATCTCGAAGCATAGAACTTCTGCTTTAGGCTGCCTTTGAAAAAAATCAACTGCTGTAATTGCTTGCAGAAACAGGCTGAGAAAGTGTGCATAGAGATGAAGAATATTGAGAAAGGGATTATACAACTCGTCAGTCAACATAAAATAAGACAGCTTGTCATGGGAGCTGGCTCTGAGACATTCAATACCAAGTATGCGATTTTTTTTTTCTTTCTTAATTTTCAGTGAATCAGTCTAATCAATCAATTTATTTCTGGTTGCTACGGCTATACCAATGGGATAAATGCTATCACTTACTCACCTTCACATCTGATTTTGAATATTATATATATATATAACTAGTGTGCTTTTATGAAATGGCGAAGTAGCGCAATTTGAGAAAGTAAAGAACGTGCAATGCCTGCAAATTAATGTACGGAAACCAGTTTGTTTTTCTTACAGTTCATGGATTATCAGAATAAGGTGACGAAAAATAGTTTCAGTTGTGGCATGCTTGGGTGTGTGAAAACAACCAGGAAATTTGCTTATTTAAAACTACACAAATCTCTTAACAATCTGTACTTTTCTGGAGACCTAACAAATAAAACCTCGAGGTGCTAAATTATTACAGTAAGTTACTTTATTTATTAAATGACTAATCTAGATTGCAGGAAATTTTCAGAGGCTATCTCCAGTAAAGCTATGGTTATCTGCCAGCAAGCTCCAGTGTCATGCCATATTTGGTTTATTTCCAAAGGGTGCCTCATATATTCAAGGTGTGTAATTTTATATTTATCGTCTAAGAATTTAATTTGTTGGATGTTTTGGAAGTTAGCAAGCTACTGATTGCATTTAAAAAGAGCTATTTTTTTCTTGGGAAATATTTGACTGTACAAAAATCAAAACGTATTCTGCCACCTCCTGCGGATACACTCATTTGTGCCGTTATGTTATGATACTAGTTTTTACTAAAGCTCTCCGAAATTCTTGGAATACTTTCACATTTCGTATAAGGGTTCAGCATATTGTTTCTTTTAGAGTAGAAAACATCATACTTAACTAACCAATGGACATTTCTTTTTCTTGGTCTAGACCTGTGGGCCCCGGTTGTCTTTTTACCACTAATACGACAACTTCGCCTTCGACAAGTAGCGGTGGAGTATTGCACAATACCAAGGAAAATTCGGCAAATGTTAAGTATTCACATCACCCAACTACACTCACAGAAGAATTAAGAAGCCCAATAAACGAATCAACTGATCCAATGGTGCGCCATAGTAGTGGTAATAGTTCACCTTTATCTATAAATGGGGAACGTCTCGAGCATATACCATCTTCCCCATCTAATACCTCACTGGTACGCTTTAATTGTAATTTGCACGTATGAATATTTATTCGTGGGCACTTTATATAGCAATTGGAATTTGTTGTAATCGTAGACCCGATATTGTTTATTATTGATCTTTATGCACTTGAGAGGTGTGTTGCCATTCCATTAGTTATACTAGCATTGGCAGGCCATGAAGTGTGTTTTGTTGTAAGTGGATGAGTAAATTTTGAATTTGACAAGAGATAATTTCAGGAATCTGAATTCCAAGACAAAGGGATTTGTGATCTACGCAGTCCGCTGGAGCAATCTGTGATAGATGCCTTGGATGCTCTGCGCAAGGTAAATAGAAATATAATGCATCAGAGTTTGTTAACTTTATGCATTTCCTTAGTAGTTGTTCGGTGCTATTCCTGCTTTTTGTGGAGATCGGTTATATTGAAATCTTTTTATCTCACTATTATGAAAAAAAAAAAAGGTCCAACTCTTTTTGTAGCGTACGATGTTCAGTATAAGTAAATTGTTTTGTTCAAATTGCATGGGTATCTGGTCAAAATTAACCGGTTACCATATAATTGACAGATTTGATCGTATAAAGACCTTGGACACATGCTCATTTTCCCTTTGTACCACTGGTAATTAAAATTAATTTGGTAGAAACCACAAATTACAATAGTAATGTCAATTAGATTAGATACACTAATTTTATGGCAAAAACCAAAACACCAAATGACTTGCAAATATCCCTCTGTTTGGAGCAAAATGATGACCTTTGATGGATCTGATTAGACCCCATTTTTAAAATGCAGGTTTCGACATTCTATTATATACTACATTAACTTTATTACCTGATATGTCTATTTCTGCTTAGTAGATCTATATGACTCATCATTCGAACTACTCAGCTAGAGTTGTGGCACACTTTTTAGGCTAAGGCGGCAGAAAGGTTTTGCAAGGAAGAGATTATTCGAAGCAGAGAAATTGAGGAACAATTACTTAAACAAAGGCAAGAAATCGAAGCCATGAAAAGTCAGCACGATCATATTCTAAAAGAAATTCAGCTTATTCAGGACCACAATCTTGCACTTGAAAGCCGGCTAAGAGACTCCTACAGCTCAGAAGAAAGAAAAGAGTTAGAGGACAAGATTGTTCAAGCAGTGAATCTTTTGATTTCGTTTAAGGGCGCACGTGATAAGCTGCAGACAGAGTATGATTCTGCTGTTAGAGAAGTTAACAAATATAAGGCGTTACAAGCACTGGACAACCCTTCAAGAATATTGGACACACATTTCTTTGGAATCTCCTTCACAGACATCATCGAGGCTACACAAAATTTCAGTCCATCTCAGAAGATTGGAGATGGAAGATATGGGAGTGTGTTTAAGGGTGTTCTCTGTCATGTTAAGGTAGCAATAAAGATGTTGCCCTCTTCTGCTTCTCAGAGTGATTCAGAGTTCAAGAATGAGGTAAAAATTTTCAGTATCTTTTTTTTTTTTCTTTTTTTTTTTTTTNTTTCCCTTTCACTAACCTCCTCTCATTTTTTTTATAAGAGAAATCTAGTTAGTAGTCATTGTTAAACATTTTCAAACAAACTCACTATTTAACCACTCACACGTTTTAATATAGCAGTCACATTCAAAATTGTTATTTTAATATTTCAATACCAGTTCAACTTTTCATCGCGAACTTAACCACATCTCAAATTTAATTTTCTTCTTTTAAGAACGTTTTCATATCCGTCCTATGCAATTATACATTCAGCTTTAACATGCAATTATATATTGTTATTTGAAACCATTATAACTGGATACGGCAATAGATTTCTTGCAAATACCGATATTAAATAAAATCTAACCAATGCAGACTGAAATTTTGAGTAGAGTGAGACATCCAAATCTCGTAACACTTGTTGGCGCCTGTCCAGAGTCGAGGTCACTCGTATACGAATATATCGACAATGGAAGCCTCGAAGATTACCTTTCTACCCTTCCCAAAAGTTCCCTTTCATGGCAAACCCGGATAAAAATCGCTGCTGAAACATGCTGTGCCCTTCTTTTCTTGCACGCTAGCCATAATTGTGACATGCATGGTAACTTAAAACCATCTAAAATTCTTCTCGACAAAAATTTTGTTACCAAAATTAGTGGGTTCGGTATATATAACTTGATATCCCACGATGAGAATCTTTCCAGTCAACAACACACATTTCTCAGTACAAATGATCCTGAAAAGTTAGCTTATGTGGACCCCAAGTACTTTGAGGATGGCATGCTAACGACTGAATCTGATGTCTACTCGTTTGGAATCGTTATTTTGCGACTTTTGATTGCGAGACGAGCTATGGCTGTAGTGAGGGACGTGAAGTGGGCTCTGGAAAGTGGAAATTTGGAATCTGTGTTGGACGTGTCGGCTGGTGATTGGCCGGTTGAGCTTGCAATGGAGTTGGCTGGTTTGGGCTTGAGGTGCTGCCAGGTGGACCGCTTAGATCGACCGAATCTTGAATCAGAAGTGTGGGCCGTGCTCGAGCCCATGAGAGAACTTTGCTGCTTGTCACAATTAACGTGCATGGATTCTAGGAGCCAGCATAATAAGATACCTTCTCATTTTCTCTGTCCTATTTTTCAGGTATGATTTGGTCCCCTCAAAGCATTTTGATTTTTTTAGTGTTATGTAGGTTACGACTTCGAAGACACACGTTTTCGTTTTCACTAAAGCTTGCAAAAAAATTGAGCTCTTCGATAATAGAATCGAAATTTAATAGCTCAATGGAGTTTGTATTTTCCTTTTCTTTTTCTTCTTTTTTTCATTTTTAGATTTTGCAATAGNAAGATCCACACATAGCACCAGATGGTTTCACATACGAAGCGGATGCCATAAAAGGATGGTTTAACAGTGGACACAAAACTTCTCCAATGACCAATCTGAAGCTTGACAATTGTGACCTCCTTCCAAACTATGCTCTGTATTATGCAATTCAAGAGTGGCAGCAGCAAAACACTTGACACACTTTGCACACGTAACATAAGCAATGCTGACATATACAGGTTTATTATATTGTCCAGAATGAAAACAAATCATTGTTTATCCTTGATATGGGCTTGGATTGCTATGATTAATACCAATTAATGCTAATTAATGATAGATAATCCAACTGGATTTGGTTCTTTGTCTTTTGAGTTAATGGAAATGCTGTGGAATTTTCTTTTCTTAGAAAGTCTTGGTATGATCGACATTTTTCTAATGTTTCGAAATTAGGGTGAACTTTTGGACCAGAACCAAATGTCTTGGTATGACCAGACCAAGGGTTTTTCCATGTATTTGTTTTCTAATTAGAAGTTGACCTGAAAAAAAAAAAAGGTCATGGAGTACCTGTATAATTCTATAACAATGGTTTTACCTGGTTCAGTAAACAATGTAGTGTGGAAGATGAAAGAAATGCTGTAAATTAACTTAGAAATGATTTGTAAAAAAAGTCCGGTTTTCAGTTTGTCCAATAAAATAAGGTAGAGTTCACCTTATGGATGACTGAATTAATATCACCCTCGGTAACTAATAAATAATATAGATTTCACTATATTGGGACTAAATTTTTGTAGATTATTACTATCAGTAATACTCTGCTTGGATATAAATTTTTTTTGATTTGTTTGAATTTTTTGCTTTGGTTAATTTTGAAAAATGTGGTATAGTCTAGTGGGTATATTAAAATAATATTCAAAATGAAATAATTAAAGTTGATTTGATGTAAAAATAAGAGAAATATAATTTGAAGTGATAGTTAGTTAAAATTATTACATAATGGATAGTGAATTAAAGTTGGTGTGGTGTGTAAGAATGATTGATTGATATTATTTAATTATATTTATAATATTGATGATAGTGGAGTTGAGATAAAATTAAGTTAAAAAAATTGTTGAGTTAAAAATTGATTGGATTTTTTTGGATAAATTTGTATCCAAGCATTCTTAATGTACATGCATGTTAAAAGCAGTCGGAGTGGAAAAAATAATACATGTTCAAGAAAAGCGAGAAGAATCTAGAAGAATTTCAGTAGGCGACGAGTGACCTAATACATAGTATATCGAAGTCGTTTGAAATGACAATTTTGTGCCTATGTTGGCAAATTTGTTTCTGTTTTTGTGTTTTTTGATTAATGAAACTAAATAATACCAACAAATTACTAAACAACAACAATATCTCCTATTATATTTTGCTTTACTATTTACCGTCTAATTGTGTAATGAATGACATACAAAATTGACACAATCACTTGCGCAATTCATTATTTATAATATAAAATGCGATAGTAGATTTTGATTACATGCATTTTTATTAATTCAGTTAATTCAATTTTATGGTTGCATATATTTATTTGGTACTTGGCTAATTTGATGATTACTAAAAAAATTCTAATCACGCGCAAATACAAAAGTAAAATTGTGATTTACAGAAATTGATGCTAGACTGATATGATAATTTAATAATCATATTTTTTTAGTAAAAATATATACAGTTCATACCATACTCTAAAAATGATGTTAGACCAATATGATAATTTGGTAGTCATATTTTGTAGTAAATATATAGACTTCGTACCATACTCTAAAAATAACATAAATAAGAGTAGACATTTTATGATAAAAATATGTAATTTTTTAAAAAATTTCGATGGGTCAACTTAAGTTCAGATAATAAAAAATAATTGAAAAAAAATTAATTATTCAATGATTAAATGTCCAAGCCTAATAACTACAACCCATCATTAGTCGTTATGGATTACAAATGAAACTCAAAATATCGTGTTTCATTGGAAAAATATGAAAGATGGGTTATAAAAAGGAAAAAGAAAATGTACTGCATCATATTATTAATTTATTATCATTATTTCATATATTGAAGGAATAAGAAAATGTACTGCATCATATTATAAATATTATTATCATTATTTCATATATTGAATTTTCAATATTGCTTCAATCATCAATGACCTTTGTCCCTGTATGCATACATTATACATCTATCTCGGCAGAAAAATCACAATTTATTCTGTTTAATTTTCGCTAAAATTTAACCGGTAGCTATTCGCCGGCGATCTCTCCGGTCAGTAGTATGGTGAACCTTTTATCGATTATGATGAATCGTTTCTACTGGAGCCCATGACTTTCTGTTTTATTGATTATCATTTTTTTTTCTGTTTTTGTTTTTTTTTTTGTTTTTCATCTGAATTTTACTGAACTGCCGATATTTTGATGGATCCAACAACCACGAGTATGCTTGGTTTTACGTTATTGAAAGTATTTGTTCCCATTTTCATGTGATAGTATTTTGGAGTCGGTGATTTGGGTTTATGTATCTGCATTTAGTATTAGGTTTTCTCTCGTGTGTTGTGCGTTGAAGTCTGAGTGTTTATTGGGATGCACCTTGTGCATTAATTGGATCCAGTGAAGTAACAATTAGGCTTAGCATTGATTGATAATTCACTTACGTAATGTATATATCAATGTTAGGATTAATTTCTTTCTCGGAAGCTTTTTGTGCTGTTCTGTGGGTTCTATCTTGTATGTTACGAGCGATTCTGTATTGTTGACTGGTTAGTTTGCTGTGTGGGTTTAAGGTGAGGAATTTATTTTGGCATATCAGTTCAAACATGATCTCGTGAAGTTATTTCTTGGCTTAGCTTCGATTGATAGCCCATTAATTCATGTATCCCCATGTCAAAATCACTTGTTTGTCTGAGCTTTTTGTGGATTGTACTGTTGGCTGTGTCTTATTGGCTATTTGCAAGGTTGTTTTGTTGTCCTGATGTTGTGCTGTGTGGATTTATGGCGCGAAATTTCGTTGGCTTATAAAAAACATTGTCTATGCCCTGTCACGTGTCTTTTAGCATGTTACATAAAGTATGAAGTACTTTTTATATTAATGATGAAGGAATGCCGTAAATAATCTCATGTTATCTACCTACACTTTGAGATTGTGTACGATGCCTATGGAGCTGACTTTTGACTGCCTGAAAGGTTGTTTTGTTGTCAACTTTCCATAGTTGATCTGAAATCCTGTTTTTTGGGCAAAGCGATTCTATGTTTTCCAACTTTATGAATCACCTGTGGTACAACTTGAATGTGCTGCCCACGTGTGTAAGTCATGCAATGCAAATGTGTGTATTTAATTTGAAAAGATTATATGCGTGAGTCAGTTGACAGATTAGCTTTACTATATTCGGGGGAATGTAACTGCAAATATTTGTGTGCTATAAATTGAAGAATCCATCTTCTGTGTTTTGCATAATAGCTGCAAAATTTCATTGAAAGAAATTGGAAATTTTCACGTTGATTAACAATGACATGCTGGAACATTGTGGTGGGAGATTCATGTTTATATTTCTCACTAGAGCCTAGTTTATCGATGGAATTCTATCTCATAATAAACAGACAGATTTTAGGAATAAAAGTATTATCTCGCGGAACAATTTGATGATTGTATCTTTACCATCCATGTAATGTGAAAGGAACTAAATGCATTATTACAACTATAAGTGTTTAGTAACATGGATATGTTATCCAACTTTATATTTTCTACCAAGATTCTTTCTCATTTATTTTGTCCGTACTCCCTTTTTGTGTCCGTACAGCTACTACACCACTTACCATGTTCCTTAACTCTGATGTTTGACTTTCCCGTCAAACCATCCTCCATTCATCTTTTACCCTTAGTGGTTTCAAATTTGCTCATCCAATATTCATGAGATGATATGTTTGCCTCTGTTAAAGATGATAATGCAATGTGAGTTTCCTGATAATCTATGTCAAAGTTAGTTTATGAACATAACAGATCACATATTTTATATTAAGTTTACCTTATTCTTTTACTGACTGGATCACCTTCTGTATCCTTTTGTGCTCCAGTCTATAAAATCATGCATCCTTTGTATCATTTTGTGCTTCATTCTTCATAATCATATATATAGTATCATTTACATTTAGACCTCTATGCAGTGCCCTGAACGATTAAATTATAATCTGGGAGCTTAGATGCCTGCTACAGAGCTCTGCTCTAGTGGAACTCTTGATGCAATGAAATCAGACGAGGGGAATGATTCCCTAGACACTTTCATCAGACAAGCCATTGGAAAGGAGCCTCTTATCCCTTTTCCAAGAGCAGCAGATAGTTCTATGCAGTGGATCCAGTTGCTTAATGCCCTAGATCAGCCAGGTGTGTAATACTGTTATTTTCTAAGTTACAACTTACAAATGCAATATTTAGTGGGGAGTCTATTTATGCCTCTTTTAATCTGATGCATGGATAGTTTATCTGAGCTGTGGTGACCTTCTTGGGTGGGTGGGTGGTTGGGATCCCTTTGTTGCAAAGGTATATATATGGAAATTGTACTACCTTGAAGTGGAAAGATACAAAGTGTATATATATGCATAAAATCTTACTATGTAAAAAACATTCTGTTTATGGAAAGATACAAATTATGTGCTTGGAAATTAACAAAATCTCTTTTAAGGTTATTATGACTAATAATTGGGCTGTTGCCAAAGTCCATGTTCTCGGCCCATATAATGTGAGTGATTAGGGTTCTCTAATGATAAAGCTGCTCTCGCATCTTCGTCATTTAGCCGCCTACCACCACTCATAGTCATTGACTTACAATTCATTGATACAATTACATACTCACCAGAGAACGACAAGAGGAATAAAGATCGATAACAATTTCACTAATGTGGGTGCATTGTAGTTGTAAATTCTTTTCTCACCTGTGTACCTCTCATTTGATTGTTAATTATGCATTTTGTTAGCCATCCGAATGGCGATGCCATTTCTGACGTGTAACGGAGACATGTATGTTAATCATTCTGGCATTGGCTGATGTTATATGAAAGATTTTGTCTGATGTTTATTTGCCTAAAGTTAAATGCTTGTTCCCTATATGGATCTCTGATAGATCTAGGAATTCCCAGAATAGCAAGTGTATAGATGCTAATTTTAATGTTTTATCATCTACTTGCAGATCTCCCTGGTTGGCCATTGATGACTCCTGTCAAACCTCAGATGCAAAAGTGCGGGAAGTGTTCCCGGGAGTTCTGTTCCCCAATTAATTACAGAAGGCACGTCCGGGAGCATCGCAGATCTCTAAATGTCCACAAGGTTATCTAATTGTCAACAGATTCTTTAGAAACATGTAAAACTTAATGCCCCCTTTTCTGTATTATTGGTTTAAGCCGTTTTACATTTTCTAAATATGTTGATTATTCTGTGCTATTGTTGGCTTCTGTAAGATAGCGTCAGTAATATTTCTGAATGTGACATTTTCAATTAGTTATATAATGCTTGTATATATGCTAAGCAGGATTCTCACAAGAATAGGGATTTGTTAGCTGCCTTTTGGGATAAGGTAATTAGTTTCCCTGCTGTGTTCATTTCTTTCTATTTTCTCCTTTATGTTTCATAATAGGATTGGTGTTTTGATTTGCAGATTTCGTTGGAGCAGGCCAAAGAAGTAGTATTATTTGATGATGTGATGCTTAAGGTAGTCATTTGAATTCTCTTTTTTCGACAATTTGTAACTTGTCCATTGACAAGATACAATAATTTAGGAGCCAATGTCGTCTAACATAGAGATTTGAGACTTACTTCTGTGCTACTATGCCTGCTGAGTGTGGTGAACAGTGTCTTATTTGGAGACCTTACTGGCGTTAAATTTTTACTTTGTCCTTCATGTCATGAGTACTAATACTGATGTAAATCTGGCTTGGCCCAAGAACCAGCTTATTAAACTGGAAGTAATTTTTTATCTCCTCATCAATTTAACAAAAGTATTAATTTAAGCTTCTTTCCTAGGAAATATGAGAACCATACAGTAATATATCTTGTTGTTCATGATATTCTAACTTGGTGAAATTCTACTTGTTTTTTAGGATTTGTCACTCGAAATTGGCTTTGTTCTTGTAAATTGTGTTCTAACCTGTGTGTTTCTAGAGAAGATTTTGCTTGTCTTTTGGTTAGAATAACTTGAATTTTGAACTGGCACTACATGTAGGAATAGAATTTTTGCAATATTATCAGAATGTATGATATGGTTTCATGTATGTACTGTGTTAGTTCACACATGATGGTAAAAATGTATCTTATTCGTGATATAATTTGTCTGCGGTGTCTGATTGCAGATGATACAAAAAGACCGTTTCTATTGTGTGATGATAACTAAACCTCATATTTTACTTGCATCTATTCAATGGCCTGTGTTGTGCATTTGTTTTTGATGAGTTCTGCACAACCCGTTATTGCTTTTCCTGAGTATTCAGTTGATCATTTCTTCTGTTTATTTCTTTTCCTTCTTTAATTCCTAATTAGGTGCAAGACTAGATGTGTTCTCTTCTTTTGTTTTCATTTTAAAATAATGTCCGCAAGTATTTTTCTCTCATGTCGCTTGATGGCATCTGGTTAAAATTGGTTATTATTATGTGTTCTGTTCAGGATATTCCTGGATCTTCGATTATAAGGGCTTTGGCGTCCTCTGTCCGCAAACCAGGCATTTGGACTCTTCCGCCTATCTATGTTAGGGCGGGCACAAATCTGTTGGTGAGGAGGCATCATCCATTTATCTAATTGGCTCCCTGTTTCATCTCATCAGTTCATGTTTTCACTTTTTTTTTTTTTTTTTAAATCACAGGATATTATTCAAGCTAAGCCCGTGGGGGTGGGACTACCAATATCCTCAGGGGAATTATTTAGCATCCTTGACGATGCTAGTGAGAAGACATTTCTATGTGGTGGGACAGCTGAATCTGTGCTGAAGTTTGTATTTGATGGAGAAACTGCTAAAAATTGTCTCGAGTTGAAGAACCTAGTTGCTTGTACTAGCTTCCTCTTTGAACAGCAACTGGTATTGCTCTTATTTGCATTTTCCTATGTTCAATTAATATCATTGAATACCTTATACTAATGTTTACCTGGAAGAAAACAAGCGTGTACCAGAAACTAAGGTTTTGTTTATTTACTTAAGCCGGATTTGCAGCAGAGACGAACAAACAATCATGTTTATATACTTTTTATTTGACAACCCATTTAATAACTGTGCCATATGTTGGCACAGTTTCTGCTAAATATCTATTTTCACTTTATGCGACATGATATTTTTCTGAGGATGGCATACATTTTCTTAAGGTGTCTTTTTACATCCTATCCTTTAGTTCCCGTTTTTCTTATTTTTCGTCTCTTGACGTAACTTGATATATTCTATGCCAATTAATTCTGCTATATAACAAGGTGAAAGCTTGGATTGCCTACAAAGATGCGGAGGCATTGAGGTGTCAGAAACTGCTTGTGGAGGAAGAAGAAGCTGCACAGAAGAGGTAGGTCCACTTTGCCGATCACAAATTTCTACTAGTTTTTACAGTTTTAGCATTTTTCCTTCAGCTATAAATGGTTCTCTTTAGGTAGTAGAAGACAGTAGATGGTTCTTGTTATTTCTTTTGCAAACAACCAACCTTCTTGATTGTTAATGTTCTGCACAAATCTTTTGCAAATGCACCCAGGCAAGCTGCGCTTTTGGAGAAGAAGAAACAGAAAAAGCTTCGCCAGAAGGCGAAGGAACAACTTAACGGGTCCAGCCAAAATGTGGATATCGATGTCGATGTGGTCGACATTGCAGATGAAGCATCTGGGCCTTCATCCCCATCTGATACAAATTCAAATTCTCCACCAGATTTGCCTGCAAACCCAGATAATTCTGGCCTAGAATCCACTCAGTCCCAAACCAAAGAATTAAATGAAGAAAATACTGAGCCACAGTTTGTAAATAACAATCACAGTGAAGATTCTCAAACAATCAAAGCGGGCCCGGATGACACTCGTCACTCATCCACCAAACCTTGGCAGGCCTCAAAATCTCTACGTGGCAGCCGGTTCGTATTGAATCCTCAACCTCTTAAATCCGAACCTATGCATAAATTCGGCCAGTCCAGGGATAGGAGCCTACAGAACGGGACCAAAATCTGGACTAAGAAACTTAAAGTCAATGCTGATGTGGAAAACCCAGAGCCTCCAGTTTCTCAGGAAGAAAATAATTGTGAGGTGATTATCGGGTCTATAGCTGTGACCCTCAAAACTACTCCTGTTGCTCAGCCGCAGAATGATAATCACTCGAATAAAGTTTTGGATAAATCCTGTAATGAGCATGCTGTTCTTCCTAAGAAAAATGTTCCAGAAAAATTGACGAAAGCCAATCATGTCCAGCCTGGAAATAATCGCAAGCATTGGAGGCCCGTGCGCCATGGTGAAACTGAAAATAACCCATCTTTGAATAGGGGCAACGAGGATACTAAGGTTGCTGGCCAGGTTTTGTCTGGCGAGAGGTCTGTGCCGTCACATCTGATGGACAATGATTTTGAGAACGGGAAAAAGCTATTCCGTGAAGTTTCAAGTGAAGGCTATGCTTGTCAAGGCCCTATGCCATTCTCAACTGCTGCTGCTAGAGAGTTTCTCGCTCAGAGTATGACTACATGCCCTTTTGGTTTTTGACCTAGTATTGCTCCACTTGACAAATCAAAATTTCTATTACCCATCAAGAGGCTTTTGTGTTTTCTCTTGAAAAATAATCTGAAATTTATGATGTGTTTTTTTTTTCCTAAAAGAAAAGGAATTAATTGCCGTACTTAAGAATTTGTGTCCTGCACTCCATGAATAAGTGCTAGAAAGAGTATAAACGTGCATCTGCACTTTTTTCTGTTCCAAAACAAGGCTTATTCTTTTCATAATAATGTGCAGGGTGGAAGGAGGCTATCTCATCTGATCACGTGGTATTAGAGCTCTCAGAGCCCAAACCTCCCGAACCCTCTGATGTTCAACATGAGTCCTCCACAACAACAGTTCCCGATGCATCACATCCTCCCGTGAATCAACTCGACACAAATATTAAAGCAAAGTCGAGTAAAAAGAGGGGGAAGGGTGGGAAAACCAGATACATAGTCAAACAGAAAGCCGATGCCTAGTATAAATAAATAATTGTGAGTAATGCATAAAGTCTTTTAGCACATGACATTTGGTTATAGTTTTACCGGTGGACTGCTGTAGGAAACATTGGAGGTGAAGGTTTTTTTTTAATTCTCTTGGGCAAGTGGGTTTTTATTACTTTTAGCAGGNGTTATGAAATATCAGTGTCTTGGTTATACAGTGATAACCTGATTTTCGGCTCATAATGCGTGGGTGCTTATTCGTAGTCGTATTGTAATTGTGATTCAACCATTTTCATTCATTTGCAGGTAGGTGTGAGCAAAATCGAGCCGAACTTCAGTTATTTTAGTGTAGAAAATTTTCGGGTTGGTTTTGGATTGTTTTTTATGTGTTGCAGTGCGTTACATACGTTTTTTTTCAAGAGTATTGTTTTTGGTTTTTTGGGTGTGGTTTTGCGTGAACCGAATCCAAATGCATTGACAAACCGAGGCTTCCAATTTGATAAGGTTCAGTTCGGCTATCTTTTAGTCTAGAAAATTTTCGGGTTTAATTTTTTGTGTGTTCCGATGTGGTTCAGTGTGAATTTACAAACTCAGTTTTCAGTTCAGTATGATTTCGCACACCGTTAGCTTAATGCTCAATCCTATTTGCAGGAACCATGTAACTGATTTTTCTTTTAGAAAAAAAACTAAAAAATAAATTTTGAAGAGTGTTCTAATACAGTTGTGTTTACGAAAATAACAGTTTCTTTTTAAAGTCATCACTCCCATTTTATTTGCAATCCATTTTTTTCATGTCTGTTTTCAGATTAATACCAATCCAAATCTTGTCAATTGTTATAAATGTCGCAATTCAAACAAGAAAATTTTTGTTTTTGTCCAAACGACAAACTTGAAAATTTGCCTTTCGTCATTGCTCCAGTTAGTATTAGATATGCTACTTGTTCCATTATTGAGCTTCAATTGAGTGATCCCATCTCAATGAATCTAAATTCTACCACACTAACACCGAAAATCACTTGGTTCAAAGACGCAGAAAATCATTCGGTACTATTATTAATTAGAATTTGGTTTATCAAAAATAGTAGCACAATGTATAACAACTATATAATGCTAAAAATAATCACCAACTCCTTGTTATTTGAACGATTGTATTTACACATACTCAATTAATCTTGCCCTTTGAACCATAATATATCCTAAAAGCCCTGGGCAGATAAACAGGCAACAGAAACCCAAACAAATTGAAGCACCAAAACGCCATGTTCGCCGCCGCCAGCGCCCGGCCGCCATACAGCTTCCACGCGCTCCCTCCGCCCTCCCCACCACCCGCCGCCGCCGCTGCCTCGCTCCTCAGCCAATCCACAATCGTGAAGATCCTCCTCGAATTGTAGAAAACCGGCACGAAAACCCTAACCGGCAGCGAGAATCCGCCTGCGAACGAAACCCCCTCCATGAACACCTGGCTCGCCAGCAGGAAGAGGTGCGGCGCCGCCGCGCGGACCACCTCCCCATCCCCCTCGAGCACGGCGGCGAGCACGAGCGCGATCGGGAGGCACAGGCCGATCACAGCCGCGAAGGAGACGTACAGGCCGAGGGCGGAGTTTTCCCGGCCAAATACCGGCGGATCCGGGTGGGGGGAGGCGAGCGGGAACGCGAATCTGGATATGAAGCACATGTAGATTAGGGAGAAGGCGACGAAGGCGAGGTCTGTGGCGGCGACAAGGCCGGCGGCGGAGAGGGACACGATGATGGCGAGCATACTGAGCTGCCGGAAATTGAGGAGGCTCCGGATGGATGCCGGCGATTCCGCGCCGGCGTTGCTCGTCTCGTGTTCGTGTTCGTGCGGTTCTTCTTTTGAATGGCTTGACATTTTTTTGAGGGTTTTTTCCTCTCTTTTCCCCCTTTTTTCTATTGGACTAGCTGCGGGAATATAGTATGAGCTTGAGAATTTGACAGAAGAAAGGAAAAAGATGGAAGTTTATCTGAAAAGAGAGGTCAGTAAGGAGAGAGAGGTGTGAGAGCATATGATCAAAAGAATATTTAAAATAATATATATTTTAAAAGAGAGGTCGGTAGGGAACATACATTTTTGGAAAAAAAAAAAAAGTATTTAGATTTAAAACAAATACCTTTTCATTATTTTTAAAATTTGATTATAATTCTTTCACTACTTCCTTTTCCAACAAAAATTCACCAATAATCCCTTCTTAGTCATATACTCATCTACGAGGTCCAAGAGTGCTTCAAATAATTGAAATTAAAGGTTATTGAGATTCAATACCCAGTGTATAATATAAAAAATTTCTATGGAAGCTGTTAACTAACAGCAAAGACCACATTGTCCAATCTTAACAGAGAAAAAAAAATATAAATTCAATAAATATGTGGCTATTTAGCAGAAAAGGGAATTCGGGCTTCTCAGCTAGTTCCACGGCGGAGCAAGTCACAGAAGGGATTGATGGGTCGGGTCTCACCGCCATTGTTACAGGTTTTAACTTTCCTCTTTGCTTTTATTTTCATTTATTGTTGTTTATTTAACTTCTTTGAATTTGCATTTTTAAGGACTGGGTTCCTGTGTTATATGCTAAAACTTTCATCTATCAGTTGAGTTAATTTTATTGAAAGTTGAATGACTGCACAGTGCCTTTTAGCCGTTGGAAATGCTCGTGTGCCTGCGCAAAAGAGTACTGCAAAAACCTATATTCTTAGCTAGAAAAAAGGATACAGAGAAAGACTTTTCCATTTGCATAGATTACTCAATTGTATAAATCTCTGTTTTGTTTGCCTCTGAAAATTGGACAAACGTGCATTGAGCACATAATTGTTAAATGATTCGAGTCGTGTGAGTTCGACTCGTGTGAGTTCGACTCGGCTCGTTAAGGTTCAAACTTTGTTTAGTTCCGCTCAGCTGTTTAATGCTCGAAAATGGAGTTTTTTATATAATTTTCTATAGCTCGGCTAGTTAAGACTCGAGCTTGGCTCCTTAAGGCTCAAGTTTGACTAGTTATGATTCGAGCTCGGTTCGTAAATATTGATAAATGAGATGCACTCGAGCTCGGCTAAGTTCCTTTACACTCTAATTGGGCATATGCTCAATTTTGGTA